CGAAGACCCCCCCCAAGGGACCCCCACCTCCTTAGTCTGACCCGCTAAGGACACCCCTGGGACCCCCAGACCCCTCCCCAACCCTCTTCTTCCAAGCAGCTTCTGTAGCCACCCCCCCGCCCCAAACACCCCACAGACCAGACCCTGTCCCCCCAGGACCCCCCAGACTCCTACTCAAGGGTCCCCAGGTGGGGAATTTGACACTGGGGGCAGGGGCGGGGCCAAAGCCAGCTGGAGGGGCTACACTGGGGGATGGGCCACCTCGGGGCAGAGTCAAAGCTAGCTGGTCAGAGTCACTTTGTGGGCGGAGCTGTAGCAGGTGGGAGGGGCCACATGGTGATGCAACTGATTTTGTGCTCTGCCTCCTGTGCCTCCCCCCCAGGTCACCAGCACTGGAGGGGGCAGGGGCCGGAGGCGGGGCCGAGGCCTTCCGCGAGGTGCGCATCCAATCGCTGCTGGTCGAGTTCCTGCTCAGCCACGTGCACGTGCTCTTCAGCCGCAGCTTCACCTCAGCTGGGCGTGATGGGCCAGGTGGGCGGAGCCTATTGGGCTAGGCTGGGTGGGTGGAGCCAGACTAGGCCCCAGAGCGGGTGCTGGGGCTGTATTTTGCCTGGCAGGTGCCTGCAGTGGCCAATGGGGGGCCACTAGGGGGCTCTTGGCCCATTGCAATAGCACTGGGGGGCGCTGGGTCCCCTCTGGAGGGGCTGTGGCCATGGAGCACTTGGGCTCTCTAGGGGGAGCCCAGCAGTGGCCAATGGAGACCCCCAGGGGGTGCCAGGACTGCATCTGGAGGCTGCAGTGGCCAACAGGGGCCATTAGGGGGCTCTAGACCCATTGCAATAGCACTGGGGGGCACCAGGTCCTCTCTGGGGTCATTGTAGCCATGTGGGGGGGCACTAGGAGACTTGGTGGCTCTAGGGGTCACCCTGCAGTGGCCAACAGAGACCCCAAGGGGGTCCCAGGGCTGCGTCTGAAGGCTGCAGTGGCCAATGGAGACTGTGATGGGGGGCAGATGTGGCCCTTGGGGAGGGCAGGGGGGCTTTACTGACCCCCCTCTGCCCATAGGGCACCCCCCGTTGGCCCGACCCAACTCCCTGCTGTGCTCTGGCACCACCCCCCGGCTTCTGTCGCTCGAGGAGGCCCAGGCTCGCACCCAGGCCCAGGTGCCTGCGCCCGGCCCAGGCAAGGCCCCCCCTGCACCTGACTCTCCGGAGGAGAGGTAAGGGGGTGGGGGGGGGCCCAGATCCTGGGCCTGATCCTAGGCCTGATTCTGGGGAGTGCTAGGGGCATGGGCATGCCCCCGGGGCCCCGATCTAGCCCTGATCCTGGGGGCACTGTCTGCGGGCTGGGGGGGCAGGGGGACACCACCCCTCTGCCTCCTTGGGAGCCTGATCTGGGCCTGATCCTGGGGACACTCTGGGCTGTTGGGGGGAGGGGTGGTAGGTTTCATCTCCTCTAGGGGGTCCTGATCCAGGGGGCACAGGTTGAGGGCTGGCAGGGGTCTGTCCCCTTCCTGGGTGCCCTGATGTGGGCCTGATCCTTGGGGTGGCCCCCCCTCCCTGGGGCTCCGATCCAGGCCTGGTCCTGGTGGGGGGAGGACAGGGGCCTATCTCTTTTTTTAGGGAGCCCCAATCTTGGTCCCATCCAGGGGGCACAGGTTGGGGGTGGTGGGCAGGGGTCTGTCCCCTTCCACGAGGCTCTGATCCGGGCTTGATCCTGGGGGTGGTGGGAGCTGGACCCGATCCAGGCCTTATCCTGTCGGCGGGCAGCTGGGTCGCATCCCCTCCAGGGGCCCCTGATCCTGGGGGCAGAGCTTGGTGGAGGGGGCGGTCAGGGCCCCATTTGGGGCCAGATGCGAAGCTGCCCGTTTGTCCTGGCAGGCGCGGGCGCCGGGCACCAGGAGGCGGCTGGAAAACCTTCTTTGCACTGGGCAGGAAGTCCCAACGCCTCGGGGGGCTGCTGGGCCTTGGGGAGACCCGGGCTGGTGAGTGACCCCCCCTGCCCCGCGGAGGCTTCGTCCTCGTCCTCGTCCTCCAGAGAAGCCCCGCCTCTCACCTCCATGCCCCCCAGCCCTCTGCTAGCCCTGCCTGAACCTCAGCAGGCCACGCCCTTCTGCATAGGCCACACCCACCTTGGCACAGGCTACGCCCCTCTTTACTGCAGACCCCGCCCACATTATAGCCACGCCCATTTTTGGCTCCCTTCTATGTCGGGGAGGCCACACTGTCCCCTTCATAACCACACCCTCTTCCAGGCAGAGCCCTGTTCCCTCCATGCTTTTCCACACAAGCCCCGCCCACCTCCTTATTGGTGTCCCACCCACTACCCCACCCCTTCCCCTACACATTCCACCCATTGATGCCCTTGGCTCTACCCCGCCCCCAGCTCTACACCCCCCCCCCACAAGCCAGCTGGCTGCACCCTCTTAGTGGGGGTTATGGAGGGGGAGGTATGCCTGGGGGCGGGCCATGCATATGGAGGGGCGGGGCTATGAATATGAAGGGTCCTGAGAGCTTGCTGGGTCAGGCCTTTCATGCAGCCATTCCACCTCAGAACCAGCTGAATCCTTCTACAGAGCCGGGCTTTTCCAGGCCCTTATGCACAGCTGTTCCACCCCAGAGCTGGCTGCATTGTGGCCCCAGGCTTCTTTTTTCTATGCTGTGTAATGTGCAGCTGATTTGTCTTGGCTTTAGCCCAGAGCTGGCTGCATGACTTGAGCTTTCCATAGTGGGGGTGTTATATGCAGCCATTTCACCCCAGAGCTGGCTGCATCCTGCCCTGGAAAGAGCACTCTTCAGGCTGTTACCTGCAGCTGTTCCATCCCAGAGCTGCAGAGGGACCTTGGAGGAGCATTTTTGGCCCAGGAGGGGCTACTGGGGGGAGGTGTAACCCTTGTCTCTCCCCTCCCACCCAGGGCTGGGGCCCGACGCTGTCACGCTGCGCTCTGCTAAGAGTGAGGAGTCTCTGACGTCCCAGACCAGCACTGCTGCTACGCCTCCCCTGCCCAGAACTGGCTGCATCTAGGTACCAGATGAATCCCCTCTAGGTAGTGTTATATGCAGCTGTTCCACCCCAGAACTGGTTGCATGTTGGCTCTGGGCTGTTGTTCAATGTGGTTGTTCCCCAGATGCCCTCCCAGAGCTGGCTGCAATCTCATCATTGCCTGAGCTTTCTGTGGGGGGTGGGTTATAGGCAGTGATCCTCCCCAGAGCTGGCTGTGTCTTGGGCCTAAACCTGTCCTCTCCACAGTGTTATATGCAGCTGTTTCTTCCCTGTTCCATCCCAGAGCTGCCTGCATCTCAGTCCTGGGCCTATTCTCTGCTCAGTGTTATATGCAGCTATTTCATCACAGCTCCACCCCAGAGCTAGCTGCATTTCACCACATCCTAAGGGTTGTTATATAACAACCCTTATATAACGGTTGTTCTACCCGAGAGCTGGCTACATCGTGGCTCCAGGCCTGTTCTTTCCATACAGTGTTATATACAGCTGATTTTTCACTGCTCCACTCCAGAGCTGGCTACATCTCAACATTGCTTGAGTCTGCTGGGGGAGGAGGGGTGGGTGTTATATGCAGTCATTGCACCCCAGAGCCTGCTGCATCAGGAGTCCTACACCAGTTTTCTCCATAGTGTTATATGCAGCCTTTTCTTCCCTGTTCCACCCCAGACCTGGCTGCATCATGGCCCCAGGACAGTCCTTTCCACACGTTATATGCAGCTGTTGCTCTACTGCTTCACCCCAGAGCTGACTCCATCTCCCCATTACCTTTGGGGCATTATACGCAGCCATTCCACTCCAGAGCTGGCTGCATCCTGCTTCTGTGGCAGCCCTTTCCATAGTGTTATATGCAGCTGTTTTTCCCCCTGTTCCACCCCCAGAGCTAGCTGCATTTTTTATCTGTACAGTGTTATATACAGCCCATTCCCACTGCTCCACCCCAGAGCTGGCTGCATCCGGACGCCCTGTGACCCCCCCCCGTCTCCCCCCTTCTTCCCAGGCCTGGCCCCCCGGACCCGGCTGCGGCGCCCACGCTCTGTGAGTGAGGCCCTGTCAGGTGCGGGGTGCTCTCCGCGGCCCCCCCCACCCAGCCTGTCCTGCGAATCGCTGGCCTCATCAGGGGGCTCAGGGGGCGGTGCTGACAGCCCTTCGGCCCCCTCGGACCCCCGCACCTCAGCCTGGCTGGATGACGGCTCTGACCTGGACCTCAGCCCCCCAGCCTGGCTGGGGGGGGCGCGGGGGCGGGGGCCGGGCCCTCCCTCCCTGTCTGA